AGTACAGTACATACACTGTAAATGAATTTCAAAGAAGCCAAATATATTAAAAACGCACTTGGTTTATACAGTAATGATTTAATGCCGGTTAATAAACTTATCGTATAGATTTATGTTACTGTGACCCTATTTATTGTTTTATAGTAATAATTTCCAAAATTTACAGCATTCATTTTGAAAAGAAGCCCCCTCTTACTTTGCAAAAATAGCCTCCAAAAGAAGCCCATCCAATCTTTGCAAACAAAAGAAGCCCATAATAAATAAACCAGTGTTTTCCCTTGATTTTGTATAATGATATGACTTGCAAAATTTCAATACTTAAAGTGAGGCTACGGAGGGAAAAACATTTTTGATATGTTGTAGAAATGATTTTTCTAAGACAGAAAAAGGTAGTTCGATCAAAAACTGAGCAACGGTGAATGAGATACAGATTTTTGAATTTAAAAACTGGTGGGAAACGGTGTAAAAATGGACGGTTACGCCCCTTTTTCCCCAGTTTTTAAATATTCAAAAATCAGTATCTTGTTTACTGTTCCCCAGTTTTTCGTCAAACAACTTTATTCTGTCTGAGAAAAATCAGTTCTACAACATATCAAATTTTGTTTTCCCTCCGGAGTCTGACTTTAACTTTAATGATAAGAAAGCTCGACCATATTGAGAACAGTACTGCAGTACTATAAGAAAATTAATTACTAGAATTTCAGTAGTTTGGTAATTATTCAATCATGGCCAACAACACCATCATTTCATTAATGTTCTCTCTGTGGAAATCTCTTTTGAAGATTGATATAATATGTTGTTTTCATCTTCTAATTACAACTTCATTGTTCTGTTTGTAACAATATCCTTGCTCTTATGAACCCATCCAGATTAGTAGATGTAAGATTACTTTGAGTGTTTGTGTGATAAAAAGCAAAAAATTCCCCAAAAAAATTGACAATTTTTTTTTAGTGAAAATAAGTAAATAAAATCCTGACAGTATCCTATTTGATGATTGATTGCAGGTGTACACTTCAAACAACAAGACAACTTATTATTTTAAATAATATTGAGTTACAGAAAATTTTATGGAAAAGATCGGAAATTAAATTTGTCATATTTCGTTGTTTTTTTATTTATTGTTATTACCGCTGGTTCTTATTTTTATTCTCTTTTCTCAGTTGGCCCTATGTCATTTTTGTGTACACTGCACAGGGGCAAGGCTAGACTTTTTTTTATACTTATACGAAACCACCTTCTGCCATCAATAATGATTTCCATTAAAAATAAAATTTTATTTTTGGCCAATTACCGCACTGCCACCATGAAAAAATGGAAATTTCAGAATTGAAATCTCCAAAAATAAGATATGTATATTTCTTCCTAATTATATAAATTTTTAAATCATTTAACCATCCAATTACTTCACTATTTACATTCACCAATAAATTAATTTTATTTTTATTTTCTCCTCCCTCTGGATGTTTTTGGCAAACGTTTTTTTTCACGATCTTAAAAAAATAATGTCGCAAAGCAAGGTATACAAAAAGTTCTGCCCAATGTGCAATATAATATATTAATTAATGTTATAATTATTATTATAATACCTAGTTCACATGTACACCAAATGTAACAAGTTTTAAAAAGATGTAACACAAGCAATCTCTCAGGTCAATCGTTTTCTCGAACCATGTAATATATCGGAAGAAATATCACAAACCATTATAAAAGATAGATTGGCCTATGTACATTATAAATCCCCTATACAGGGATCTAGCACAAACAGATCCCAAACAGCGCTAGTCCCTAGGCGCCTTGAGATGAAGTTGAGCTAGGCCTAGGAGGCTAGCATATGCCCGATTATATCGCCGCCTTGCTTGGCCAGCTTGGCCAGCAGAGAATCCTATTCTAGGCTAGACGTAGGCCTAGCCAGCCTGATTCCTGAACCTCGCTGGCGTAGCTGTAATATGCGACAGTCAGCACAGATAATATATTTTTCTGCATTGTCTGTTTTTTAACAAGCTCATAAAACTTGATTGTGGTCCATTTAGAATTTGAATGCGCTTTTTTGCCACATTTATCGCGTTAAGTGGAGCTTCCACTTGCCCAAAAAAACCATTGAGCATGCGCTGTAACAAATCGTAATCTTTACAGTCCATTTGAGATTTCACAATAGACTTCACTTTACCGAGATTGTGGCATTCGCACGTAGCTATTCGTGCTAAAACTTTTAACAACTTGTTACATGTGAATTGGGTATAAGTGGGTTATTTGATGTATTATTTTGTTTCTACTCCCTGAATAGTGATGAAGCCAAGGTTAAGTTTGCTGATGAGGTCCTAGACTTTGTTGTGTACTATTGTATCATAGGTGTTGTTGTTCTTTTCGTTGGATTCTTCCAAGTAAGTAACTACCTCTAATATTTGAATATTTAACCTTATTTAAAAAGAATTTGGATAATGCATTAAAAGCCAAAAAATAATATTAGGGACATCAATAGTAATGAATGTTACAAATTTGTGAGTGCAATTACAGTAAAAAGTTTTTATGGTAAGTAAATAATATAATCTAAACACCAAGATGAATCTATAACCATGTTTTTGTTTTTTTTTGTTTTTTTTTTAATCACTTTTATTCAAAAACACAAAGAAAACACATTACAAAAATTGGATATATGGAAATAATATAAGGTAAATTTCTTTTGGGGGTGCACCCCCCCCCCCTTGACGACAGCCTGTAGATATACCACTGTATAATTGGTAATTAGATATATTTCCTATTGTAACATATTTCGTTTGATTTGAAATACAATTGAAAATGAAATGCTAGTTCATGGATAGTGTAGCAATAACGAAATATAATAAATAAAAAATTTTTTTAGACTGCCATGTGGAGTGTGTCAGCTGAGAACCAGATACATAGACTGAGGCGGATACTGTTCAGGTCTGTGCTCCGCAAAGACCTCAGCTGGTATGATACCCATAAGAGTGGAGAACTCAACACACGTCTCACTGAGTTAGTATACGCATAAAGTATTTTATTTTGTAGTCATTGTTTTATTATATTATATTTTATATTTATATTTATTAATATTTTATGTATTTTTATTGGTTTAATTTGATGTTTGTTTTTATTAAATTTGTTTTTATTTTAGTGCAGTTATTTTGTTTATTTCATATTTTTAAAATTTATTTATTTTTTAAAGTTTGTTTTTTTTCGCGCCGCACCTTTAGGCTGCTATAATCAAGAGGAAACAATCATTAAGAAACTGTAGGTAGTGGAAGCTTTTACTACGAAGGAATGGGAATTCCGAACTAAGCAATGCGTCTGCGCAGTTACCAAAGAATGTCTGTGAAATGTCTATTAAAACACAGTGAGCATGTGCTTGGAAATGCTAGACAGCCACTGAGCTTGTGCACTGAGTAAGTGACGTTGTCAAGGCATGTCAAGCATGTTTAAGGAACCAAACAGCGTCTGCACACGTAGAGAGTATGAAATAGAAATTGGAAAAATCAAACTTCTTTATGCACAATTGAGCATGCGCAACTCAATCTAAAGTGATCATGCAGGCTATGAACATGAAAAATAATAATAATTCCAGTCAAAAATCCTTGGCTATCAAAGGCCTACAGTTCATCATGACATATATTCGTCAGGGAGAATTGTAATTATATTATCGCAAACAACAGTTATATTATTTTTATGTTTATGTGTAATACCATAAAAGAAATGCATTGAAGATGGTACACCTGTAGGTTTACGAATACGTTAATTTATTAAGTTCAGAAATAAAAACCAGCCAAACAGAAAGTTAAAGATGTTTTTTTGTAGGAAATATTTCTTGTCATAATTTTGTATAGTTTTATTAAATATGGTGTAATTGATCTTTTATATAAATGATTTATTGTATATTTGTTTTATATGTACTGTACTGGATATATCTTTAGTGAGCACAGCACTATAAGACAACCTTGTATTCATCTGAACCGTCTATTATTAAATATCATTGAAACGAACAGAATTAAGTTGGTTCAATCAATCTATGCAAAACATATACAAGCAGACAATGTCCACTCCCTAAGAAAGCTTATTCATTAACTCTGGCAGTGACAGAGTATTAACAAACAAGTGGCTAGACTCACACATAAATCCTTGGTACTTAATTTCATTTATTAATTTGACCCTTGATTTGACCCAGGTAATCAATACAATACAAACAGTAAAAACAAATAGGCCAGGTTGAAAGCATTATGGCTGATGAAATCGGTATGCTTATAGAGTTATTTTAAGATTATTCATTACATTTATTTTCTAAAATATGGCTTTACAAAAGTGTGTTCACCTCTAATGACCATTCCTAATGCACAATATTAAAAAAGCAGTGGTTATTTTTACACCAGTTGTTAGCCAATTCCTACTTCTGGTAAGACTGGTATAACAATAGCAACTGTCTAAATATGCATTACACTGTAAATATAATAATAATATTAATGTTATGTTTTTTTATACTGCATATTGCACATTGCCCCTGTGTGCTTTACAAAGAAATTATGTGTTCAACACAAGAATTATTGTCTTATTTTTACTTCCAGAGATATCGAGAATATTCGTAATGGCATTGGTGACAAGTTAGCTGTTGTTATCCAGTGGACAACCACGTTCTTTGGTGGCCTAGGCTTGGGATTCGCCAAGAGTTGGAAGCTAACATTAGTCATAATGGCTGTTGCTCCTCTTATTGCAATTTCAGCAGCCCTTGCATCCAAGGTAACGGTCTCATAAAGCAAATCAATTTGCGAAAAAAGATATTTTGCTATTTTGATGATAATGTTTAAACCAATGAATCAGGTTACTAGTTAATTGTGGCTAAATGCAGGTTGAAAAATCTATCAAAGGCAAATATGAACATGCAAATCAGGTTTACAATTTCTGTTCTGGCTTTTCTCAAATGTTTCACTTTACCTTACTAATAAATTCTTTGACAGTAAACATCACTATTCTATTTTTATTTGTATTTGGTAAGACTTTGTGTATCATATTATTATTAGACAGTTTACACAGTTACTGATAGCGTAGTAGTGTTTGCAGACAATGATATGAATCTATAACATAGCTGTCAATTACTTTCCTTGTTAAATTAATGTATTCTGCCAGGAAGCAATCCCCTTAAAATTATTATCTTCTTTCTGTTGTACAAATTCTTGCTTGCATTTTAGCTCTTTAGAAACAACTTTGTTCATCATAAAATTTAGCCAGTGTACCACAATTTTCACTGAGCCATGGAACACAATGACATATTTCCATGGTTCTTAATCGATGGCCTGTGAGCCAAATTTTGCCCGCGAAGCAAATTATTCTGGCCCGCGAGAAAAATTTTATAAAAAAAAATATAAAAAGAAACTAAAAGCAATAACCATTTAATGAATATTATTTTAAATAAAGTAAACTCCAAAACAGAGCACTGGGTCAATGTGAAGTAGGAGTTACCCCATACAGATCTAGAATTAAATCGGTTACCAACAAATCGACACCAAAAACACCAAAAGATTAGTAGCTAAATATGACATAGTAGATTAAAAATAAACACTTTTTCATAGACTTGTTTTTATTATGAGTAGATCCGAGATTTTGCAGATGAAATGTTTTTAGGCTTTAAAGCCCTGGTAGTTGGTGGATATACTGTAGAATGGGTGAAATTACACAGGAAATACTGATTGTGTTTCAAACTATCAAGTTGAACAATCTTTGTATGACTGATAAAAAAAAAATTTAAAAACAAAATTACTGTGTTTTTGTTACTATTATGCTTGTAACTAACTAGTTGTATGGATGTCCGAGCAGGTTACAATATTTGTTTGGCTGTGTCGTTGTATGGATGTCCGAGCAGGTAACAATATTTGTTTAGCCGTAAGCTAAAAAAAAAAAATGCCAAATTCAGGAAACGATACTTTTCACGCTCAGCTACACTTGCATAAAGAAAGGACGACATGAGGAGTTCTATTACCAGTCATTGCGAACCTAAAAAAATCTTGTGACTAACTTGGGTCGCGAACGATAGTTGGAATACCAGGGCCTAACAACACCAAAATGAATGGAAATTTAAATAGAATATCCACGAATTATGGGTTTCAGAAATCCATTAAATGCAGCCTCAAAATGCTACTTTGCCATAGCTTCTCGTCCTCTTGGGCAATTATTGGTGGCACCAATTTTTTTAATGATTTTACACAAGCAAAAAATAAAAAATCAATAAGTAAGAAATAGTGAAAAATGAAGTGTCTCAATTATTTTTTTGGCAAAATTTTATATCAATCTTATGGTGCAAAAAATTGTAATGAATTAGTGTCCTAATATTTTTCTGTTATACTACAATTAAAAATAGAATAGAATTTGAAATTGCCAAAAAATGATTTAAAGGTCTGTGCGGCCAACAGGAGGCTTCAGCGACAGCATCTCAGAATTTTACCTTAGGTCCATAAAGTAAAGCAAGTACTTGAAACTCAAAGAATTTTCTATAGCCACTGCATTGCTATGTAGAGTTGTGTATTCAGTATTTAGTATTTACACTTGTATCAAATACAATATGTATAGAGAACTTTTAAGTACTTTTACATATTGTATTTTTATTTTAAGGATTTAGTTCCACATTCTCAATGTTCGCACCCACCAGGCCTAAAACCAACTCACTAGATATATGTATATATGTGATTCACAGTGATGTGATTCACAGTGATGTGAATGTTGGTGAACTTCCTCAATCATGTGTAACTATTGTTAAGGCAAGTTAACAATAATTAACAATAGTTACACATGATTGAGGAAGTTCACTAATATTCACATCACTGTGAATCACATGTATATATATCATGGGCATTAAGTTGTATTAACATATTAAGAATTAGTTGGCGATAAATGTATATGTCATAAACTTCTGGTAATAATAATGCTTTATTAGAATGCAGACAATAATGTTATGAGCAGGGACATAGGCTGGTTTTCGGCCTGGTGGGTGTGAAAATTGAGAATGTGGAACTAAATCCATGTTCTTGAAAACTTATTTTTGGTAATTCGATCATTCAGTGGAACTAATTTACGGCCCTAGCCTACACCCATGATGAATGTTATAATACTTTAACCTTTGACATATTCATACACAATGAGATAATTTATTAGTTTGCATTTCTGAGTATTATAGTATGGTGCTATAGTACTGTATGTATCTTCATGCCCTCGGTGTTAAATCAAAACCCTTCAACCCATTTTTATGCACCCGCACCTATTTGTAGTACCATTAAATCCTCAAATAAGCACTGCGCCGCTTATAGAATTTTTGGAGGCTTTAGCAGCGCTTAATCGAGAGCGGCACTTACTCAAGGATTACAGTAATGTACCGTGCTTTATTCTCAGGCTGTTCAAAAGCTGACCAGTCTAGAACTGAATGCCTACGCCAAAGCGGGAGCTATAGCTGAGGAGGTGTTGTCTTCAATGAGAACAGTTGCAGCATTCGGAGGGGAAGATAAAGAAGTACACAGGTACATGTATTTATTTTGTTTGCATCTTGCTTCATAAGTTACTTGTACATGATGAAGTATACATTGTAATGAATTATCTCATTGTGAGGCTTATGAAGGGCAGTTGATTTTATTCATGTCAAAATCATCTAATTTTAGAATTTTAACCCAGGATTTGTATTGAAATTGAAGAACCTCAACACTTGTTAAATAAAAAAATTAAATAAATTAAATTAAATTAATTAAATGTAATGGATAATCAGTGCTGTCAAATTACTGATTGTTTTAGCAGTTGATAATGGACTCTTCCAAAGTGTCAATCAAACTTAACAATTAGAGCTGGGCCAGGAATATGCGCGTAACTAACAAGCGTTGTCCCGCTAAACCATGTGTACGCATATGTTTTTAGTGGGACCTTTCCAACAATATCTAAAGATTGGGGCTTAGCGGAAAGGTACAATATAATACGTAGAGCTATTTATTTACATTTATTTATTATATTGTTCTTGACTTATGACCTTGGAGTTGACCTTTTGCTTGAAGGTTAAGGTGGTTACCTCAAATTCTCATGGCTCTCAACTAGGAACAACAGCAACATTCTTATATGTTAATGAAACTTTGGACTAATAGCATCAGACAATTTCAGCCTCTTAAAGATAGCCAAGTATTTGGGTCATTCCATGTCAAATCAACCAGAGGTCCCCAGGTGACCCCCTCAGATTTTAATGAAATTTGGTCAGAATGATGATATGTTGCTCATATGAACACATGCAAAATTTGAAAGTCATACTCCAT